AAGGAACCAACTAATAAACCGCTGAGACAAATATAGACGTTTTCACAAAACGGTGTCAATTTTAAAGTACATAACTTTACCCTCTAAGTTTTTAATAGTATAAATAAAAATGGTGTGTACTCAGTATTCGACTACTGATCGTATTTGCTGTAGGAAAGGAAATAAAAGTCAAATCCCAAAATGTCCATAAAAAACGATAATACATTTTATAATCAATGAGTTCACCGCCCGCTCCGTGTATTTGCGTGATTTGTCTGCGGTTTCATTGTTAAAACGTGAAAAACTGGCATCGAAGTCCAAGCCCCGCCCTTTTCCCGTCGCCCGGGCACCGCTCGCTCTTTCCGAAAAGGAATAGTTTTGATAAATAGTTACCAAACAATTTAAAATTGATTATGAATTACTGTTTTTATAAAATTAGTAGTTATTTGCAAGAAAAATTACAAAATTAATGGCTCTGGCAACATTGCTTATTCGGCCTTTTTAGAGAGGCAGTGTTTTTCTCGTTGAAAAAACAATTGATAAAACGTGCTGTGTTTGTCTTCAAATCGAAAGAGTACAATTAAAATATCTGTAAGTTACTAAGTTACCTATCTATACATGCCGTTGTGATATCAGCCGACTAGTACACGTAAACAAAATAATTAAGTTACCTATCAACAAAAAAAAAAGGTTCAGCGTTACTTACTTTTCTCCGGCACTAGCAAAAACACAGATATAAATTTTTCTTCACACACATATATTATATATAAAAAAAAAAAAAAATTTTTTTTTCGAAAATTCCGAGAACAAATGAATGCGTTTGCCTTTGGCATAAAGTATTTATAGTGGTGATCAATTTCATGTCTGAACAAGCATTAAGCATTGTCGGGCGGATACCGCTTTGCAAGTCTGTACAAGAAATTGTACGTAATATCGAATACGCAAGTTTGGACAAGGTAACAGTCGCTTTGCCTTATTAAAATATTTATCTGCTTAGATAGGTACTTAAAACATGTGGTAGGCCCTTATTAAAAAACTATGCTTACTTTTTTGCTCTTTACTATTCAAAAGCAAATAAATTTTCGTGGACCCCATTAACATCTTATGGACCCCCATTTTTTGTTCACGCCTACGTAGGCCCCCAGCAAGTCTCCCGCGGACCCCTGGGGGTCCACCTGGACAACTTTGGGAATCAATGCTAATATATCTACCTCAAGGTTTGAATAGTTTATACACTAGTACCACTACTACCTATTTTCTAGAGGAAAACAGACTCCTTTTTATAAAAAGTAACTATCTGATGTTTTCATGAAAGTAATAAACTAAAAAAATTCGCATACTTATGTTGGAGAGCTTTAGATCCTGATATATTTAAAAAAATTACTGAAATATTACGTAATCTAACCCGACATTTGTGTGAAAAATGTCTACTTGGAAATAAAACAGGTTTTTAAAATACGCGCCAAATAAAGCACTTCTGTCTCCGCCATAATGGAAAAGGTTGAATGGCTTGTGCGGGGAGGGTGGTGGTGGGTCAGTATGGTGACCCGGCCGTGTTAAAAATAAAGTACGGATTTTTATTCTGGGCTTTTTTGTTTTATTTAATTTTTTAAGAAGACTTCCAAATTTTTCGAAAGTGAGGTAGCAGAAAATTCTAGAATTATTGCTTTATATCCAAGTTATGCTAATTCCAAAATATAGTGAAAGAGTCCATTGGCTTAATGTAGTGGGTACGTACACACCCAATGCACATTGTAATACTCTCTAGCTTTCTGGCGGCCGCGGCCGCGGTCCTTGGATTATAAGGGGACAAGCAAGATGGTTAGATAATAACTAAACGTAACCAAAACCATTATGTGGCGGATTCATCTCGTCAAAAATCCCTATATGGGTATTTCGGCATTGCAAGAAATCTTACAAAAATAAAATTAGTTATTTTTTTTTCCGACGACGGAAACAGATAACTTTCCGAAACGCTAAGAATTTGTTTGGTTCGTTTAGAAAAAATTTGTTTATCTGTAAACATAACTGCTGACAATTAGTTAATTTTAAAAAAAAAAAAAAAATGTTTACAATAAATAACTATTTTATTTTGTAGATTTTCTGTGCAGTGGCGAAAACCCATTATAGGTTTTTTGGAGAGATAACATCCTCCACATAGGTATAGACATTTTCTAACCATCTTGCTTTGTGCCCTTGGATTTTTTTTGGGAAAGATGTTTTTTTGGGAACATGTGAAAAGAATTAAACGGTTCTCAAATGTAAAACTAATAACACCAATAACTTCATTACGAGTACTATGTAATATATACTTTTTACTCCCCCAAATAATGTGCATTGAATTAATTTTTAATTCCCATCCAGGTAATATATTCACATTCAAACCCATTATTTATCCGTCGATGTTGAAAAATGATCGAACCCTAAATAAACAAGTCACGAATATCCATAATAATTATTAATAATAAATTTTTTTTTTATTTCGATATTTTTTTCACGTCCCGCGGCGCGTCCGTAGATTTGATAACTCGTCGGTTCTCTAACTCGGATTTTAATCAAGCCCAAGTAGTAAAACAGGTGCAATTAAAAATTAATCCCGGAACAAATTGGCCCGATCAGTTTCATAAACGGTTATTTATGATGGGCCCTGGCGGCCGCTCCGAATAATTTTGTTGTGTTGTTTACGTTTGACGAGCTTGATAAATTAATTGTTAAGATGTGCGAATTAACGATAAACGAGAGTAATTGCGTCGACGGGTACGTGTTCGCGATAATCGGCGCGACTAATACAAGTTAATTGTTTTCCGGGGATAAGTAATTCACGAATAATTATGGTAGTAGGCTGCGTGAGGCATAGATAACTGGGTTTCAATTATGTTTAGCTTTTATCGATTATTTTCATTTATACCTTATATGAAATTATATTAGTTAGGTTGCCATCGGCTTGTTCCACTGCGACCTTTTCAGATTTGTAGTGGTCCTCTTCGGATCTCGAAGTTACATTCTGCAGTACTATTTTTGTCAAGAAGTCTAGCAACTTGAAGACTGATCCAACGCACTTAATATATCTTCTTTGTGTCAATTGCATATCTTGCCTAATACAAGAAACGGCACATTTGTCAGGTTGAAAAAAAAGGTTGTCTTGCCGCTGACAGTTAAAATTGTTTCTGTCCGTTTTTGTCTTCATAATGAGTTAAATCAATGTTAATTTCAGGATGTCGTAATAGTAAGCAACCAAAAGAGGTATAATTAAAACAATGTATACGAGCAATTGGAATATATGCAGTGACCAGGTTACTCTGCAAAATCCGTAGACAATATTATATCCAATTGCAGGTCCAACTCATTGGTGCGCCAGACTGAGGGGGATGTTCTCTCTCTTGACGATTCCATATGTGAAAGGAACATCAGAGAAGATCAGGCGAAAAGCAATATAAAATTAAAACTGTTTTTAAGCCTGGGACTACTCTAAGAAGTATCCTAACAAAATCAAAACCTGAATCATCAAACCAAAAGAAAGAGTGCATCTATCAGGTACCTTGCGAGTGCGGTGAATCGTATTTTGGAGAGACAAAACGTCCTCTACATGTACGACTGAAACATAAAAAACATACGCAAAGAGGTGAAACAATGAAGTCGGGCATTGCAGATCATGTGTGGTCCAAGCACCACAACATAAAATGGTCGGAGCCCGGGTTGTCCACAAAGAACCCCATTGGAAAAAGCGCAAATTTAAAAAAGCCGTATTCAATTCTAACAATAATAAAATCTTTGGCAATCCAAGTATGGAAATTTGAACAATATGGCAGCCACTCATAAAACGCTCCAATGCAGGTGTTCCTAGTGGAAAACCTAATGCTTGACTGCACCAACAAATTCACGGGTGAATGTTCGGCTCTAGTATATAAGCTCAGTAGTTCTAGGATTTAGTTTAGTTATGATTCAACTAATTAACTGATAAATACTAATGAATACAATAAAAGTTTTTCTAAAAAGAAAACTTAATACTGGGTGAGTCTCGAAAGTGGCTCACCCCTATAACTTTTTTATTTTTTTCAGTTAAAAAACGAGATTTGGTATGTTAGAATATGATATAAATTAGGATTGATTGTCGGTATTCCATTGTTTTCGGTCATTTCCTGTTTCACCGGACTACAATGACTACAACTTTTTATTTTTAAATGGCACTTTATGTATATTTTTACTATTTTTGATAGAAAATAACACTCTGAATAGAATGAGATATAATGTGTCAATTTTTGACATTTTTGCATATGGTTTCTTTGAAATTATAACGTGCGGTTCATAACGAAAATTTCACTTGAAATACTAAGTATATATACTAAGTTTTCGAAATATGCTAATGAGCCATCGTTCCATTTGAAAAAATTGAGATATGATTAAAAATACGATTTGGGAATCTTTTAACCGGCCAGGACAAGACACTAAAAACATTAGACGATCAAATCTATTTTTCCGAGGTTCCTTGATTAAGAATTAGTTTTTTAACATAACCGTGGCGCTCTAGATTGAAATTTAAAATACAATTTTTTATTAAGCAAAAATGTCAAAAATTGACATATGATATGTCATTCTATTCAGAATTTCATATTCTATCGAATAAAGTAAAAAAATACCGATGGTGCCATTTAAGAATCAAAAGCTGTAGTAATTTCCGGTGAAACAGGAAGTGACCAAAAACAATTGAATACGTCAATCAATCCTAATTTATGTCATATACTAGCATAACAAATCTCGTTTTTTTTATCTAAAAAAAATAAAACAGTTATAGGGGTGAACCACTTTTGAGACCGCACCCGGTGTATTAATTTGGAACTGTATTACAGTTTAATAATTAATATATGTTTGTATACATGTTTTATTCTTCCATCTCTATCTTGAGATGCGGGGGATAGTTAAAATAGTTATATTTATTTATTTTTCTATGAAACTTAACTTTAGCGTCCAGTATTCTAGTGTTCATCTAATGAAGTAAATTAACACAAACTTTATTGTTTCAGTTCGACCTCTCTGGGTGAAATTAAGGGGAGACAATAAACCACTTTCTGCCGAGCAAACTTACGAGTTGGAATGCGAAGTTGTGGGTTCCAGACCAGAACCGTCAGTGACCTGGTGGAAAGGGAGCACTCAAATGAAAAATACACGTGAAACGGTAAGTATTTTTGACACTTTTTGATACCGAATGATAACGAAATTAATTGTACAAGCTGGCATTATTGCTAGTTTCATAAATATAGGTACATATTTTGATGAACTCTAAATAACACCCTGTCTATTTTTTGGATATTTGCATAGAGCTTAACGGTTTCTTTTTAACTATATATCACAAGTTAATATTGTTTTTCAAAATGGCAACGTAAAATGGTTTGATGCCAAAGTCAATTGAGCAGAGTTTTAGTTTATTCATAGCAACAACTTCAAAATAATTTCTAGCTATAGTAAATTCAACTTCAAGATGCACCCAAACGTAAACAGAGACATGAGGCAAGCACGTGAACAGTGGAACGCTGTAGTAATATAACCAGGACCGCACTAGGGTCGGATATATCAAATCATAAAATTATTATGTATATTTTTTGATGGAAATTTATATTATATAAATGGGTAATTATTGGGAAAACTGGAAATCGTCCTATTTTCACCAAAATTGGTATACACCCTATTTTGAGGTCGTAGATTACGAATCTGACCCAAACCTAACCAACTAGTGGTCTCTTACCGTTTTTCAGGAAAACGGAAAATAATTTCAACATTGAATTTTTCTTTATATCAGCCCTATAAAGTAATAATTTTACCATATTTTTTATATTATATCATAGTTTCATCTAAAAAGCCACACTTGATTCAGGATTGAAAAATGTCTAAAATTTTACTGAAAAACACTTTTCTTAACAAAATAACAAAGAAAATTGAGACCAGATGGAAGTTTGACATTTCATATATTCTTCTTTCTCTCTCCTATGAGAGAGACAAATATTTGAATTTTTTCGCGTGATTAGGGATTTTAAATAAATTACCCATTATGAGATTTGACAATAGTTAAATATATTTATATCTACAAAGTTACGCGGAAGAGTTTTAATTACATTGCTTTTCAACTCTAGGCTTAGGAGTTGATATTTTTAAGGTTATTTTATATTAAAAGAAGATTAAACCCCTTCGCAAAGAAGTTAGAGATAAATACTATTTATAAGCACGAACTTGCATGAAAGAGTTTTGATTGCAACTGGTTTGAACTTTTTTGCGGAGGGGGTTGATCTTTTTCATATAATACAAACAAAAAATATTGAATACCCCCTCCGCATAGAAGTTGTAAACCAATGCAAACAAAACTCTTTTCGTAAAGCACTCTCGTGGTTATAAATAGTCAGATCCTCATTGGTAAAATAGCAGTTATGGAAGGAGCCGTTCTTCAGGCAAACGCCTTCGTAATCCCAGAATGAGCGAAAAACACGCTAAATTTATTGTCTAGCATTGTCAACGTTGCTTTAAATGCCAGAAACACATAACCCAACATTTTCAGATTGTTTATAAATTTATTTTGCAAATTTTCCTCTATTATGCATAGATGTGGTTAAAAAAGTAACAGAAAATAGCAAAAATCTCATTGTTTATTGAATACCTAACAAAATATGTGCTAGAAAACCTTGAAAATATGAGAAATTAAGTAAAATTCTAAGTTGAAACTATTTTCCGTTTTTCTGAAAAACGCATAAGAGACCGCCAGGAAAAATGTTCAGATTCGTAATCTACGTCAAAATAGGGTGTATACCAATTTTGGTGAAAATCGGTTTCCAGTTTTCTCAATAATTACCTTTAATTATTATCAAACTACATATAATTAGAGAAATAAAGTGATGGAAAGGGGGCGGGAATATTAAAATATTACATTACTCTTTGGCACGACCGATTTTAACAAATTTGGTGTTTTTTAAAAGGGCTTAATTTGTCCTTTAAAATAATTATCTTTTTATTTGGTACTACTGATTTTTTTTTATTTCCATTATTGACAGCAATATCTGAATATCGGTATAAATAGGTATCTGTATCTATAATACTATTTGCAAAAAATGCAATGATGTAAACGTTTTTACATTATTTAAAAGACCAATTGCATTATAACATAATTTAATACATTTTAGTTGACAAAAAAAAGCACTTAGTTTTAACTTGCTTTCGTAGCCTGCTGTATTACCCGTTTTAAAGTATAACGACATTTTTTTTGAAAAAAACTAGTCACATAAAAACTTCTATTTTTAAACATAACATTTATTAACATTAGAATTACAAAATTTATAATTTTATTAACATTTACAAAATAATAATTTTATATAAAATATATGCGTGTACTAATTGTAAAAATATTTTATGCAAACGTAAATATTATTTTCTCTATTTGTAACTTGTAACTTGTACGAAGTGATCAACAATTATTATTGAAATAGTTGACCGTTCTGATTTTACTCGCTTGGTTGGGAATAAATTTAAAAAGCATTTTTAATTTATCAAACAGTATTCCTTAACGCGCTTATGTAAGCCGGCCCTGTAAAAAATTCAATCGCCTACCCTCAGCGTGGCTCCCATGGCTGGCCGGCCAATCAGGGTAGATTTCGCCGCTGGCTCTCGCCTGGCACGTGCTGATCACGCACTGTGCATTTGCTTATACTGGTGCATTTTGAATTTGAATACAGTTTAGGCCATTTGCTTTTTCATTGCTTTCTATCCCTTGGTGAGCGGGCACCCAGAGTAAGAAGACTTTATTTTCTTTGCCTAAGTTGTTCAGCTTCTCTCGGCATTCTATGACCAACCTTGAAATGATGGTTACTGCGTTGATCGCATTTAGTGCTGCTTGACTATCGGATAAGACGGCTTTAATGTCCCGTTTCTGGTAGTTCCTGTATCTAAGATAAATTTTGAAAAGGATCCCACAATCAAAAAGTCGTAGTATATCTCTAATCTATGTCATACACAATACCTTTACGTGGTAACTCAATGAGCATAGATTTGGTCTATTATAACTAAAGTGCCCGGTGGCATAGAGGTAAACAGGCTCTCGTCTACTGATCTCATAGGTTGTGGGTTCAAGTCCCACACCTGGTATTTCATCAGCCGACTATTTTATTAAAAAGTAAAAATAGTTTGGCTACCTAGGTCGACTCAGCCTTAAATGAGTACTTGGATTCTCACACAACCTGAGGTAATAATAGGCGGTTGAAGCGTAGTACTAGCCACATACCTTCCCTTGTATACCGAACGGCCTCTTGCATGGCAAGTTGCACCTTGCTAATCCCTAAGGCGTTAAACGCTATATAATGGAGCTACTCATTATAATTATTTATAACTAAAATATCAGGGAAAAAGTAAATATATATCCTCCAATAAGGGAAATGAATATCCTCCAGTCAAGGAAAGGTTTATGATGAAAGATGTTCAAGAAGAAGTGGAATATATAGGTTACCAAATCCACCAAAACGGCTCCTCCTGAAGTACCAATGATATGAGTTTCTAAAATATATAAATCTGTAATAAATTATAAACTTTTTGTAGTTTTGTTTAAAACTATCGATTTTAATATAATGAAAAATAACAGAAGATGAAAAGCAAAAAAAAAATCGGCAACATTAAGCAAAAAATTATGTAATATAGCTATTTTACAGCTGTTCCCGAGTAAACAACTAACTTTTTTCTAATCTCCCTTTGTCACCTTTCATCTGCTTAAATTCGCCATTTTGCTCGGACCGTAGGGTAGCGAAAGCAATAAAATCTACATAACGTATAAGACGTTTTCTGTTAAATATAATAAGTGCGTCTTTTTAGAAAAATATGTTTTCTTCCAGTAGCTAGAAATGTTTCGTATTCATAGATACGGGGCATAAAAATGCCCCGGAAGATTTATTTTTATTACCCCGTTTAAATTTATCGGTTAAAAAATAGTTTTGTTGTCTTATTTTGGCGGGTTTATTGTAGCGGAAAATTATGTTTTATATTCGTCATAAATTTTGCGATAAATTAACTTTAGATGTTTTTTATTTTTATTTTCCGCATGAGTTGTTTTTCAAAATTGCTCATATGATGAATGACTGATATTTATACTTATGAAATTTAAATACGCTGCTTTTTAAGAAAATTAGGTTGACTCTATTCATCTAGATTTTGTATTAGAATATAGGACGGAATAATAACAATGATACTCATTTTATTCTACTTGATACATTAATTCAAAGAAAATGCTTGGAGTTCAAAGCTAAACATAGTCAATTTTTCTCATATCTGGGAGTGCAAATTGACAAAAAGCTGAACTCCAAAGAACACATACATGGAGGGTATGTTAGTAGTTAGTAGTAAAGTAGTAAAGGCTCAGACAACAGTGGCTAAATTAGCAAGAGTAATGCCAAACATCAGGGGTCCAAGACAAGAGAAAAGGATATTTTTCAATAAAGTGGTCCACGCCCGTATTTTGTACGCCGCTCCAATATTTATGGGCAAAAGGCACTGGAGGTGAAAAGAGAAAAACAGAAACTTCTATCAGTTCAGCGATGGAGCGTATTGAGAGTTGTTTCTGCCTACTGAACTGTAGCCGAGCAAGCGGTATTCGTAATCGCAGTTATACCACCAATAGACCTGGAAGTAAAGGAACGGGCCTATATATATAAATATATATATATATATATATATATATATATATATATATATATATATATATATATATATATATATATATATATATATATATATATATATATATATATATATATATATATATATATATATATATATATATATATATATATATATATATATATATATATATACGATCAGAAAACTAGAGGAAGAACAGATAAGGGTAATTTGAAAAACGAAGCGAGAAAGATATTATATCAACAATGGCAAAGAAAATGAGATGCGGCGTACGGTGTAAAATGGACACATATGTTAATCCCGAATTTAAGAAAATAGACTGAACGAAAGCACGGACAGGTAGACTACTATCTTTCCCAGATAATTAGTGGTCACGGAGCTTTCGAACACTATTTATATCGCTTCAAGGAAAGAGCTAGCGCGGCCTGTAAATATTAAGGCAGTCCCATCGTCAATGTCAGTCACACTATATTTGAATCCTCGGCCTGGAAACCAGGTAGATTAAAAATCAAA